ATTGTGTTGTTTTTATTTGTATACATTTATTTTGAAAAAAATAAACAGGTAGATTGGTTTACTTATAAAGTTATTTTTGCTTCAGTAACTTTCACAATTTCTGTTTAGTTGAGATAGTGCTTAATTTGAGACCATATATTGTATCTTAATGTGACAAGTTACCCATTATTTAATACATTCAAACATTTTAATTTGTGTAGCAGGTATTTTGTATGAGAGAATTTTTAAGTTGATATTTTAAAAATTTCTATTCAGTTATTCCAATATACTTTAATAATGTCTCTTCACTCATCATTTATGATGTACATTTAATCATATTGGGTCCTTATAACACTCCACACTATAGGGATAATGGTTCCCATTTCTTTCAGCAAAGCCTTTATCTTTTAGTGATATGTTGGAGCAATTTAATATCTTCAGCAGCCAAACTGGAAGATAAATTCACGACTAAATATTATATCAAAAATTAAGTAATTAATTTTTCTCAGTCGACATGGGCTTTGAAAACTGTTTCCTCTGTTGCATTATTTATAAAATGGGTCAACATGTAGAGCTGCATAAATCTGAAAGTGAAACAAATTGATTTATTTTTAAAAACGTTTTGCTCATCAAAGATAATAGTTATGTAGCCCTTCTTCAAATGCTATTATGTTTAAAATATTGCTGTTTAGAAAATAAAGCCCCTTCCAAAAATAGTGAAGAAATTAAGAGTTAAAAAGTTTTGTTAGAGAAATTTACAGCACTTTAGCAGGTGCTTTCAAACACAAACACACATACAAACACGCACACACACGCGCACACACACACGCACCAACACTAATTTTGTCTCATTTTGTACTAAAGATTTTCTGTGATTTAAGCATTTTATCCAATGAGTAGCATTAAGTTTGTTTGTCTTATATACATAATACTCAAGTTATCAATCAGATTATCTTAATAATATTCTACAGTATTTTATGTGGAGTGCTGTACAAAGAATTCTAATACATCTTGCATATATTACTCTGGTGGGATTCTAACTGTAACTCATTCTGAAATATTCTATGGGCATTAACGTGTTTGCTGAAGAAATGCAATAGTGATTGCAGGTTTGGGAATTTTTTCTCTCTCTCTGCTACCTTGTTTTTTTCTTCATTTTATTTGACTTTTCTATTTTGCCTTCTTCATGTCACCTACTCCTTTCCCAACAAAGTTACCCTTAAATTTCACTGCCTGTCTGCTGCAGTAGATGCTCTGGTCTTACCTGGGTTCAGCGAGCGTAGTACTCATGCTGGCCCGATGAAGTATGGGTCTCCCTGATCCACCCGTTCATCAAGGGAAGTTCTAGGAAAACGTAGATACTAAGTGTCTAAGATCCCAGACTCAGGGGATCCAAATATTAGACACGGGCGTAACATTGGAGTTTATCCAGCTCAACCACTGCCTTTTTTTTTTCCTTTTTTTGAGACGGAGTCTCACTCTGTCGCGCAGGCTGGAGTGCAGTGGCGCGATCTCGGGTCACTGCAAGCTCCGCCCCCCGGGTTCCCGCCATTCTCCTGCCTCAGCCTCCCGAGGAGCTGGGACCACAGGCGCCGCCATCACGCCCGGCTAGTTTTTTGTATTTTTAGTGGAGACGGGTTTTCACCGTGTTAGCCAGGATGGTCTCGATCTCCTGATCTCGTGACCCGCCCGCCTCGGCCTCCCAAAGTGCTGGGATTCCAGGCGTCAGTCACCGCGCCCGGCCGCCGTTTTAAGTAGAAGGAACCTGCATGACGGTGAGGTACCCCCATGTGATCAGGGCTGGTACTCGGGGGTGGGCACCAGCACAGCTCTGTCAGCTGTTAAAATAGCAAAGAACACTCTTGTACCAGTGAACACATATCCCCGAAGCCCTGCACACTCCCGAGGCACCTCCTACAGGTCGTTGGAGCTTCCAGCAGCGGAGAAACCAGGGGGCTAATGGCTGCAGGGTGGGACCCAGGACTGTGTCCTGGAGCTGTGGCTGGTGTCCCTGTTTGTGTTGACTGCCTGTAAACACTCTTGTCACATAGGCTGACGGTCACCTCTGGTCAAGGTTACTGAGATGTTTTCCCAGAAGAATCCAGTGAAGCTGCTGCTTCTATACACTTGTATTCTGTGTTTGTTCTATGCCATGCACATAAATAAAACTATTTCAAAGCTTTTTCAAGAATAGACAATGCTTCAGCTCATAGGTTGCCATGACAAAAATTCGTAATCATTGGATGTCAGTTCTTTTTTTTTTTTTTTTATTTTCCCCTCTGAAACTTTGAAAAGGGGGATTGTTGGCCAACAAGGTGAATTATTAAGAATGTATGCAATTTCAGCAGTTGGATTTCAGTTAACACATTTCATTAATCTTTCAACCATATCATTTTGGTAACTTGGACGTTGATAACTTTTAATTCCACACATCTATGATATTTTATGTTTTTATGTAATAAAGGTATTAGAACTCTTTTGCATCTGTTTTGCATCTGTTTCTACATTGAGATGAATTAACTTTTGTATATAATGAATTCAGAGAAAATAAAATCTAAATATTAAATAAAATTATATGATATATTTATACATGAAAAACAATTGTTAATCTGGAAATATGTATTTATGTGTGTGATATGTTTATATAGAGTTATTTAATCAATTATAAAAGTATCTGTCTCTAGTAATCTTGTTTACCTCATCCATTTATGAAGGGGATGTTTATATTTGGGTTTAAAGAAAAATAACATAGAGTATGTCTCACTTTTAGTTGTAACCTGATTCACCATTATCCCAACCCAAGTGGCTCAGAGCTGAATTCTGCACAGTGTCTGAAACTCAGTAGTGGCCACTATATTTTTCCTCGTGTCTGGAATATGTGCTTCCTCTTATTTTTATACGGTACTGATTTTTATCTCTATTTTCAAAAATATAGTTTTAATAGGGAAATGTATATTATGATCACATTCCTAGTAGCTGTTCCCAAGAGTGTCATAAAAACTGTGGCGAGCCGGGCAATTGTGGAGCTGGTTCTCAGATGATCGGGGATGTGTGTGTGCTTACACAAAGGTGCCCACGGAGAGTAGGGGGCAGGAGAGACATTTAGTCATGGCCACAGGAACTATTTTCACAGTTTTCAAATAGCAGTATATACACAGTTATTTTTATTTGTGTTCAGTTTTACACTTTTAAAAGAAAACAATATCATGATAGCATAATTTTTATAATCCCCACACTTTATTAGTTTTAAAATAAATTTGGGGTCTCAAAAACGAGTGTCCTGAGATGTCCTACAAAATATGGGCAGCCCTTTCCACAGTGTCACGTGCTTTGGATGGGTATCACAGACTGACCAACTGTTAAAACACGAGAAAACCTATCCCTCCTCTAGTCTTGATTTCATTGATATTTGAAGGTAGCAATTTTCCTCCAACTGTACCTCTCAAAGACGTCCACTCTAAAGCCATTAGCTTTAGTTGACATAAACAGCATGAGAATGACTAGTGTGTAGACCAGCCTGGCATCCTGTAAGAAGGATGGAAAATGCAATACTCCAAACTCTGGAAACAAAAACAGTGTGCTCTCAACTACCCCTTTGCCCCTGGCATTCTTCTGAGTAAACTGAAGGCAGCTAATTTGAAGGGACCCGTATCACCCTCCTACTGTTGCCCACAAGGTGGGTTCTATTTCGACATTTTTGTGAGGCTTAGATCCTGCCACAAAAAAATGAACATCGCTGAAAGATGAAAGAAATTTTGGAACTTGCAACTTGGGAGGAGTTAATAAAAGGAGGTCAGTTCCTCCCACTTTGCTGTAATTTTGGTGGAGAGAGGGTGGGTAGGGTCGAAGATATGCACTTTGTGAGAGCCCACGCCAGTCACACAAGCTCTGCTTACGGCCAGCTCCCCCGATCTTGGTAACAGGCTGACTTCTAAATAGCATCCACACTGCCGTGTCAGAATCAATGACTGTTAAATATACATTCTGCAAAGGAAGTATTTGAGGAAAGAAAGAAAAAGAAGAAAAGGAAGAAAGAAATGCGGGAAGGAAGAAATTTTTAAAAACACGCTTTAAAACAAGTTATTTTTAAAAACATGCTTTAAAACAAGCTACTTTAAAATACTTCTCTCATATATATTGTTTATATGTATAATATGGCTATATATAGTATATAAACTATATATGACAATATAGTTTATATGTTATATATAAACTATATATGACAATATAGTTTATATGTTATATATAAACTATATATATATAAACTATGTATATAGGTTAATATGTACATGGTGTTTTGTAATAGATAATATAAATGTAACAGGGAACTTTTTTATAGCAAACTTTCCAAGTTCTATTTATCTTCTAACCAATAATTTTTTAAATGTTAGTTTGTGTATTAAATGCACTTTTATCTTTACTGGCCTTTCACGTCTCACTTTTCTAAGATACTCCATTTTAAGTTTCATGCAACTATTTTCTACTCAGAACCTTTTTATGAGGTGATGTGCCTCTGTTACTCAATAACTATCTGAAAATTCAAAACCCAAATCTCAAATTTATAGAAAATAAAATTAGGGCAACCATTTCTTTTAAGAGCACAGTATTCTCAAAGCCAGGTATCCATGAATTAATAATAAATGCTCACATGTTTTTAAGCCTCAAAATGTTGCTTACATACTGTCATCTTCCAGGTTTCAGAGAAAATCTTTGAAAGTCGTGTTAGGCTGCCTATCAATGTCAGGTACATGGCAACTACACTTTCCACGTTTTAGAAAAGCCGCCATTTCCAGCTTTCCCACAATGCCCATTCAATTAATAATACAATTTAAATTTTAGACTTTAGTCAGCCTTTTCATAGAACTCATTAACATACCAAAAGATTCTTTTTCAGATTGAGTGTCTCAATTTTGGGTTCAGAAAATATTTGTCGCTGATCAAGAAGTGACACTTTGTGGACACACTCGTGTATGAAAACCATCCTGAAATGCGATGCTTTCCTTCTGCTTCTGTCCCTGCAGCTGAGGGAGCCTGCGGAGGAACCTTACGTGGGACCAGCAGCTCCATCTCCAGCCCGCACTTCCCTTCAGAGTACGAGAACAACGCAGACTGCACCTGGACCATTCTGGCTGAGCCCGGGGACACCATTGCTCTGGTCTTCACTGATTTTCAGCTGGAAGAAGGATACGATTTCTTAGAGATCAGTGGCACGGAAGCTCCATCCATATGGTAAGTCCCGGGAAGAGAGGCTACAAAGGATACAGCTGTGTTTTCCCGGTTTTTCCCCCCAACGGGCTTCAAGAATTGCTTGTCTCTGGACGTTCATAGGCAAGCATGAGTGTTCCTTTTTTTACTTTGCTCTTTCAGCTCTGAAAAAGTTGCCTTTACTGTGACTCCTTTCAAAGTTTCTAAGATGTCTGTGTGCTGGTGTTTGGAGCTTGGGAAGTTATCTGTGTGCTTGAGCTTAGAGTGCTCTCATTTTTGGACTCTTTTAAAGCAACGAAGTAAGGCGAGTTAGTTTTGGCTTTGGTCTGGAGCTGTTTCACTGTGAACAGAGATTTTTAGATTGTGTATTCTCTTTTCTCTCACGTTACCGAGCATTGACAGACTGCTGCAGATACATGATTGTGCATTTCTTTTTCTTCTTGAAGACTGTACCACATCCTGCAGCCACCTATGGGAAGTGCCTGTGGCTACAAGATCCTCAAAGGCAAAACAACTTAACACACATCCTCGTCCAGTATCTGTGCAGAATTAACCACAGGATGGTCAGTTCTCTGGTGTGTGCTCTGGTGGAGACAAAGGAGAACAAGATCTAAGGAAGTACTGCCTATTTAGGGGTGACGGTCGTGGTTGCCAGAACAGTCTTGTTTGTGTCCATAAGTGCAATTGGAGAGACTTAAAAGCACAGATGTTCAAAGGCTTAATTTCTGTCTCGAATTAAGTCGTTCGTTGCGTGTTAAATTGTGTTATTATTTTTGTTATTTAAATTCTGAACACATTAAAACTGCTTCAGTTATCTGTTTTAGATCTTGAAATATGACAGAACAGGAACAGGTATATTGAGACTCAGGTAGACACTGAGGAAATGTTGGCCATTTATGAGTAGGAAGAGGGGAATATGGAACGAGGGATTGTGAACAGGTTCGCAGGTTGCAGTTTGTATTTCAGTACGAAGGCTAAAGGACAAACGTGTCAAGCATGAAACGTATTGTAAATAGGACCACCTGCTTTAAACCAATTATTGGAACTGAATTGAATTGCACTTTGTTTTCCAAAGCACAAGGCTCAATACAGAGGATTCCTATTCATGGAGAGGTCCTTTCCTGGTTGATTTTTTTGTGTTTGTGTTATATGTTATTTCAAATAGGAGGGAGGAAGAAACTAAGCAAATTCTACCTAGATTGTCTTTGTTTTCAGTTTTATTCATGCTGAATAAACTTTTAGATTAGCCAGGACCCATCTGCTTAATGTATGTTGTACAATTTTAACTTTAAACACTCAGGAATTTGTTTAAATTATTACCTATCTCACTATGTCTAACATTAGAGTTCATGGAAACAAAAGCTGAGCTGAGAGCTGGGTAACCTAAGTTCTACCACAAGTTTTGCCAAAAGCAATCCTTACGACTTTAGACAAGTCTATTTGTGAAAAGAGAGGGTGTGCTAAAAAAGAAATCTTAAAAATGACTTTATTAAACATCTCTTTAGTGCCTATTCTCTGCTAATCATTTAAAGATATTCAAGTGATCTAACCTCTTTCTAGCTTTAAAATTACATTATTGTGGTTTTCAGAAAATCACTGAAGTATAAAATACACAGGGACTGATTCTCAGAAAATCACTGAGGTATAAAATGCACAGGAACTGATTCTCAGTTTATATGCTTACTGTTGAAGGTCTTATTTTTAGGAGAGTCTAGAGGTATTGGGCATTGACTGCACGCCTTGCTGATAAGATGTCAGGTAGGGAGAGAGGTAGAAGCAAGTGAGGCTGATTTGTTAGTGATTCCAGAACCTATGATCAGTGGCAGCTTTTGCCAAACAAACTTAGTTTATGTCAGAAAGTACAGATCATGAGTGTGATGAGAAGCGTGTTCTGTCTGAAAAGTTGACGGGACCACTGTAGCACTTTATGGCAACAACTGATCATCCTTGTCATAGAGAGAATATCAGCACAGCTAGCCAGAGAGATTATCACTATCTTCTTGGTGCCTGGATCCAGGCTGGAAGACATCTTCTACATCACTGGAATCTCTCTGGGTGTTTGCTAGGGAAGTTGGTGGGAAATTTCTCAGTGGGAACTATGACCCTGTGTGCCTTCGTGTCTGATAAACTGTTGCCTCTTAGCTTAGCTGCTGTCTTCAAATAGCCATGATTAGCCAGGGATAGAGTTGTATTTATACTTGTATTTTTAGGATGACTTATATTGTCCTGTTTGCTTGGTGCAAAAGCCCTGTGGAGTCATTATTCTTACTATTATCTACTATTATCCGTTTATCTATTATTGTAGATTTAAAAATAAAACTGAGATGTGCAGAGGACAGGAGATGGCAAAGCTGGTGGAACCCTTGGCAGAGCTCAGGTTCAAGGTCTCTGACTCCAGGACATTTTCTTTTCTCTGTGTATAGCCCCCCAGTCAGTGTAGGCCAGGTCTGAGCTTCAGTGCCCTGTCGGAGAAGTACAGTTTCTCTGTTTCAGGCCTGCAGGCTGGATCATAAAGCCTTGAACAGGTAACTGTCGTGGTGGAGATGGAAAAGCAATTTAGCATATGTGCTGGGTCAACAGAGTGTTTTGTGTGTGTGTGTGACATTTAATGTTTATCATAATAGTCAAAAGAAGTATCTTGACACAGCCATAAGGACTGCGTTTAAGTGGAACTCTCAGCTTTCAATGAATCTTCAGTGGAGGCTGAAAAGCAAAAGATGGTTCTCCTAAATAACTATAGAAACCTACAGGAGCACATTTAAAACAGAAAACAGAGTAATTTGAAGTACCTTTTTAGGGCCTATACAAATGCATCATATGATTTATCTTAAAAAGACTATTACTTTAGAGTAATTTTACATTGACAGTCTCTGAAATATTTAATGACTCAAATGGGTATATTTAAAAGGTTTCCCCATTCCCGAATTGCACGGACAGGGACGAGGAGCATTGTGGGTGGTGCTACCTCTTCCCAAGCACAGATCATTCCACAGAGCCAGGAGGGTGGTGTGAGTGACTGTGAGTGGAGTGAGGGCAGATACACATATGATTTTCCAATAATCTATTTTTTAAAAAGGACATAAGCAAGGGCACTCGAAGAAGAAGCTACTTGGAAAATTGTTAAGAACAATAATAGGATTAGCCTTATTTTCATTTAATTTGGAGTGAAATTACCTGCTCGGCTATCTTTTAAGTCAGGGTTGCCATGGCAGCGGTGGAGGCAGTCTCAATATAGGGGATGATGTCATGTGCCAAAATTATCTGTATATTAAGCGTACGGCGGGTTAGTAATTTAAGCTTCATAGGCTGTATGTACATTAGATGAAACTGACTTTTTTGTTTTTTTTTTAACACTAGTCAAATTCTCATTTTATGCAGGTTAGCTTCTTATCAATCCCTTACTTTAATAGAGAGTTACCATTTCTAGTTCACTTTATAGCATGGTCTAGTCATTATTTTTCTTGCAATTAGAAAGGAAATGTGTAGTGGTAAAGCTACCCAAGTGTTTTTTTTTTTTTTTTTCTGAAGAGATTTGAGGTTGTGGCCTGTAACTTGTACTTCTAATAATATCAAGAAGAAAGAAAATTGATTTCATTTCTGAGTTCTCCCTCTGTGGTTTCTAAATTAAGACATGATGGTTAATGGGATTAAGGTTATAGAATCTTGGCTGGGAACACTGAGGGAGCATTTACTCTGTTGAAAATATGAACTTATGTAACGAAAGAACCAGGTGTCCATCCCCTTCTGTCACAGGGAGTGTGTAGAAGACAGAGAAGGTAAGGAAAAAGAAAATAAAAATAAATGCAATGAAAATGTGTTCCAACACAAATTTAAATGCACCAATTTCTTAACTTCCATGACTGAGCCTCAGCTCCCTGAGACAGAGCCTGGAAGCCTCAGAGTCCCTTCCCAGGCTGTCCACAGCTGCCCAGTTGGCTCCATCCTGGCTTCCTCCCTGCCAGGCTCAACCAGTGAACCCATCCCTGTCTTTATGTTAGTGGGCGTTTGCATCCCTGGTGCATTTGTTCAGCTACACGCCTCCACGTGGAAATCCCCTACTGCCCATCTATTATTGATCCCATTATCATAATGCTTAGAGGGGCGTGCACAGTACCTGGAAGAACACTACAGAAATAATGCAAGTGAAACAAACAGGTTATGTGATCTCCCTCCCGGGAAAACAGCCATAAGAAATGCAAGAACATTTCTTCCACTTTGGATTAGGGCTGCCTTTTTACTTCAAGAGAAATATCTGTTACTTTATGATTTTTTTAAGGTGTAAGCTCTATTTTTCATGAACCAGCATAACTTGACCCTTTTGCCTACCTGGTGTAGGCAAGTTTACAAGGGAAACTCTGGGCGACAGTTGTGTAGCCTTAGTTTATTTTGTTCCCATTAACCCAGCACAATTTTACTATTAGATCAATCTAATCAGTGATTGGCTGAAGTTAAAACAAAACTTCAGAGAAATGGGGAAAGCTGAGTGAGCCTCAGAGAACCCTTGAAGGGTCAGTTAACGCCTCCAGTGTTTACTCAACTTGTCACTTAATTGATAATTGACTTGGTGTCTATTTAATTTCTAACAAGGGAGAATTATAGAGGAAGACGCTGAGTAATAGACTCCCTGAAACCAATCCTTCTCTCACCCGCCCCAAAATTAAAGGAAGGAGGCATCATCTTCTCCCGCCTCATATTATTATTAACTATTTTGAATTCATTTTACAGAAAATTTGCAGAACACAGAGAGTTGCTGTATATCCGAAACCTAGCTTCCCTCACGTGAACATCTTACATAACCTTAGTGTAAACCTAGCTTCCCTCGTGTGAACATCTTACATAACCGTAGTGTAAACCTAGCTTCCCTCGTGTGAACATCTTACATAACCTTAGTGTAAACCTAGCTTCCCTCGTGTGAACAAGTGTAAACCTAGCTTCCCTCGTGTGAACATCTTACATAACCTTAGTGTAAACCTAGCTTCCCTCGTGTGAACATCTTACATAACCGTAGTGTAATTATTGGCACC